TACCTAAATAGAATAAAATGGGTACATAAATTGTTTATACAGTGCATCAAGACAATACAGCAAGGAACAGTGATACAAACAAAACGTCAGCCCCACTGCACTCATATGCTGATATGATGTGCTGAACATGCGTATACCGTGTTCGCATGTGGGGCGGTTTTCAAGATACCGATCGCGTTTACGCTTGATGGTGAGTTTACCCGTATCCTCCACCAATTATTGTACTGGGAAAAGTTGTTGAAGAACTCCGTGCAGGATCTTGTAGTGTAACAGCGTAGACTTGTAGCAACCGTAGATTGTAGCAAATAGCAGATTCGTTGTGTAACTCGGGGACTTTATTAGTAACTCGAACACATACAAAATATATACATACGGCAACCTAGGTGGCCGTGCCTATGTCCCGTCATCTCTGTTTTCGTCTATCTCCACTACATCGTCTCTAGTCTCTTCCTCTGGGTAATAACTCTTTTTTATGATCTTTCGTCCGTGCCTATTTATACGTTTCCGAAAACCGCCCGGCGACATTTTCAATCCGCCGGTTTTTCGTCATTATCACACGGACCTTGGCTTGTAAGTGTGGCGCGTGTGTGTGTCACCCATCCCCGGCGCAAGACGATACGGGAGCCGCGCCCGTTCATTGTCGTCGGGCGTTATATGCGTAGCGTCTTATGCGCTAGGTGTGACGTGCCAAGCGTCGCATCCTGTCGCCACCGTTTGCTGAATACAATAATTACGCTAATCGCGTAACAGGCGATATGTACTATCATATACACATCGTTAATGGTCGCACGTTTTGTTAATTCTCCCAGCGGATAAGAACGACTGCTACTGCTTCCTATTGGAAATAACTTTATTTACGAATTGGTAATCTCCCTTAATGAAGTATCTCAATCTCATAGAAACTCTTTGAATTTATCAATTAAAACGTGTCTTTCTTCACCTTCACCTCCTCCCACGCTTCCACTGTCGTCACTTCTTACTGCAGCTTCCTCCACAGCTCTTCCATATCACTCTCTCCTTCACCATCATCACCACCGCCTCCCCTTCTCCTCTTCATACTTTTCATCCTTCTTCACCCCTCTCCGCGTCATTCTTTCTCTGCTCTCACTATTCTTGCTCGCATTTTCTAACGGCACTTCTTCTTCTCCTTAAAACACCTTTCATCTTCTGCTCCTCCATGAATCTCCGTGGGGACAACAACAGCATGTCATTGTAGTGACACGTAGTTGCAGCGTGTGTGCGTGTGTGTGCGCGCATGCGTGTGTATGTGTGTGTGTATGTGTGTGTGTGTGTGTGTGTGTGTGTGTGTGTGTGTGTGTGTGTGTAGAGGGGGCGTCTGTGTGGGGGTGGTGTTCTATAGGCATGGGAAGGAGGGGCGTCTGTGTGGGGGTGGTGTTATATAAGCATGGGGAAGAGGGATGCGTCTGTGTGGGGGTGGTGTTCTATACGTGCAGGGAGGAGGGGGCGTTTGGGTGGGGGTGGTGTTCTATAGGCATGGGGAGGAGGGTTTTCTGTGTGGGGGTGGTGTTCTACACGTGTTTCACTACTAGTTTATTATTTAATAATTTTCCTAATTATTTGTTCGCGAGAAGTGGTGAATGGCGCGATGTACCTGTGCTATTTGTTACGCATTCGTCGACGTTTACAAGTACATTGTTGCGCGCGTAACCCTGGCTCATGGATCGACCGAGCAAGCGAGTGTGCCAATCTAATTTATAGTGAAAAGCTGCAATAACACCGGCGGGTAGCTTGCATGATATATTAAAACTGTATATATGTTTCGCGGCGTGTATAACCTTCGCTAAACGCAGCACGTAGTCACATATGTCTCACATGAGTGTCGCACAAGAATATCGCTGAAAATTTTGAACTTTTGTGCGTGGTCGCGACATATATCGATTTGTGATATCGCGTGATTGGCTTGAATCTCGACAGAATTAATCATTGGATGCATTCTTCAGCTCAGGATCGCTAAGGATTTTCCAGCCGTATTAGAATTATCTACCTGTATGGCGACGACGATGTCGACGACGACGACAAATAAAAAAAAAAGAAGAAGAAGAAGAAGAAGAAGAAGATGATGATGATGATGATGATGATGATGATGATGATGATGATGATGGTGATGATGATGATAATGATGATGATGATAATGATGATGATAATGATTATAATTATGATGATGATCATCATCACCATCATCATCGTCATCATCATCATTACCATCATCATCATCATCATCATCCTCAGCATCATCGGCATAATTATTTACGTAATATTCATCATAATAAGTTAAACCAGCAGTACAACCAACAACGGCAACAGCGGCAACTTCAGCTCCGTCATTATCCTCATCATCAGTAGCGCTATCATAATCGTCGTCGTCGTCATCGGTGTCTTCGTCATCATCATCACAATTACCATAATTATCATCTCCGGTACGATAGACGCGTACATACAACATACTACCACGCAAGCACTGGATCGCGACACATGTCCACGTAATTACCTATAGATGACCTAGCCACCCGAGATTCATCAGCTGCCCATTGCTCGGGCCGGCTTGATCGCATGTCAATAGCGACAAACTTTAGAGTACGAGCTACCTAATGATAGGAAGCGGCACAGCGGCAGGATTCTCGTTAGATGCATTGACTGACTGTTTACCAGCCTACCGCATGCGAGCGCCCGCTCGAACTATTGATTTCGGAGTCAAAACGTAGCGACGGCCTAGCAAGCGGGCAGTAAGCCAAGCGCACCAGAACCATCACGCGCGTCTGATGTTATCTGAAACGTCGAGAGCGAGTGCGGAGTACGCATACGCGAATCTCAGCATTAGAACGCCCCAGACATCGCGAGGGTGACGGATTCTGGTCTGCTACGGACCTGTGTCCCCTAGATTGAGTTCGGTGACAAAGTGATGATTATGTGACATGGCATGACATGCTGGCGCGATAAGACGAGTGTGGTTAATTAAGTTAGTTAAAGTTGTAAAGCGCGCTCTGCGTAATGAGCAATGCCCTCGGGATTATAAAATGTGCATAAATAATATGGTTAGCGTACCATAAAGATAATTATATAGTATGTACAATTAAAATGGTGCTGCGTGTAATGTGGGTAAATAGTGGTAATTGCCTTATGGGAATAAATTGGAGATCAACAATATAGAAATGATGTTTATAGAAAGGGGGCTAGATAAAAAAAAGATTGTAGTACTAGTCAGAAGATTTTTAAAAATCTAAATTTATATTTATATAAATAAAAATATATAGATTATACGAGGTGGATGCTTATCTGGCATCGGGAGAGTGGGGACCGTGCCAACACAGCATGATCAATATGTTCACATGTCAACAAGACGCAAGGAACAACACGACATCTAAACAACGCGAGAGCGAGCCCACCCTATATTTCAGTAGCCCACGGGTGACGCTGAGCTGCTAGTTGAATTACGAAGAAGACAGGCGCGCAAGCGCTATCGTTAATCCTGTTTACCTGTGATGGAAATTTGATTACTAAACATTGTAAGGATGACCAAGCCAGTGAGAGACGTAGGCGAGACAGATGGAGAGCGCGTGATTGTGCGAGACAGCTGAAGTCCGACTGATCGACTAGCGATAAGGGGTGCGGAATAGCAATAGAAGGGGAAAGAATCTGGCGCGATAGAGAGGACGCAAGGTTGTGAAAAGTGATAACGCAACTGGGAGAAAAAAGATCAAATACGCAGCGAGAATGGTGCGTGTGTGCGTGTGTGTATAGTAGTAGTAGTAGTAGCAGCAGCAGCAGCAGCAGTAGTAGTAGTAGTAGTAGTAGTAGTAGTAGTAGTAGCAGCAGCAGCAGCAGTAGTAGTAGTAGTAGTAGTAGTAGTAGTAGTAGTAGTAGTAGTAGTAGTAGTAGTAGTAGTAGGATGAGGAATAGGAGGAGGAGGAGGAGGAGGAGGAGGAGGAGGATGTGGAGGAGGAAGAGGAGCAGCAGTAGCAGTACGCGCAGCATCAGCAGTATGCGCAGCAACAGCAGTAGGAGCAGTAGGAGCAGCGGCAGCAGTAGTGGCGGGCACTTAAGCAGTAAAACTTTTTAACATAAACAATTAAACAAAAGATTCAACGGGTCGGACGAGCTGACAGTAGGCGACGACATATTGAATGCGACAATTAGTGCTCCCTCCATCCACCATAGATGCCCAACCCCACCACCGGCGATGTTCATATCCTCAACCCCGCATCTTTCCTAGAAGTAAATCTGCTGATGCTTTACTCTACGAGTATCTTGGTTTCTCTACCGAACAGAGATTGATCGGTTACATATGATTTAATACAATCTTATTGACTTGTCAGCAATCTGGTTACTGTAGAAACCGTTGACCAGTTTAGTTTGTACACAATACCTGTAACGGGTCTGGGTGCAACCTGAGTTGGCCGAGAACTCGACTCAAAAGCGGTGGGAAACTGTCACCAGGACAATGATCTAACACGAGAAGAAGAGCCGGCCAGACGAATGTGCTCGGTCTATCGTGCTGCGCGCTTGGTAAACAGAGAAGCCTATTAGTTAATACGTTTTCGTCTATTTGATTCCCAATCGGCACGAAATGAATTTCAGTGTGCAACGTGAACAGACATATAAGGGCACGTTATAAGCACGCACATGCACACGCACGCACGCACACATATGCATCAACTTTTTTTTACAAGAGATTTCGCACGAGAACCACCGGCAGATGAAAGCGCTATTTAACGGAGATGGCAATAATGGTGGCAATTGTAACGTGTGTTCGCACAGCTTTGATTGCAGGGCTGATTCATCTCTCTCTCTCTCTCTCTCTCTCTCTCTCTCTCTCTCTCTCTCTCTCTCTCTATTTCTCTCTTCTCTCTCTCTCTCTCTCTCTCTCGCTCTCGCTCGCTCCCTTTCTTCTGTACTCTCTCTCGCTCGCTCCTCTCTCCCTAATCAATGGGTGGATAGTGGATACAATATACAAAGTAAATATATAGAGAAGGATAACATACCAGTGGTGCGCAGGTCTCTTGACACTGCATGTAATCCGCTTCCATCTGTCCAGTGCAAATGCTGCCCAACATCAGAAGCACGAAAACTAGTTGACATGCCTGTCCCATGCTCGCGGTAGCGAAGGAATTATATACTGTAGGCACACTCTAGCTCCGTCTCTATCCTATGACTCTTCTCTCTCTCTCTCTCTCTCTCTCTCTCTCTCTCTCTCTCTCTCTCACACAGTCGCTCTCTACTTATCTCCGCCTATGCAGTTACACTACTACACTCTGCTTGCGAGCCTGATATGACGAAATCTTGCAAAGGTGGCGTAGGCGGTGAGCGCACGGCTCCTCGGTTCTTGCGCACATGCGTTCGACGACCAGCGCACTAATTGTCTGTCTAGTTCAACGGACAGTTACTGAACTTCACACGCATGATTGTCGCGACGAACCGCCCACGAAAGTCTCCCGAAGATGCAGTTCGTAATCCTGCCGTAAGTATGTTGCGTGCAGACGTCGATGCAGGCATGCTCCCGCGTCGTTTGGTAGGACGTCGACGCGTATATAATACACACACACACACACACACACACACACACACACCGGTAGGCGCGGCAGTAACGCTTACGTGTTTAAGCAGGAGGGCATGCTGGTAACATAGTTGCGTAAGCCGTGCAGACACTAAGACTTCTTGCTTGAGACTGTCTGCTCACAACACGCTGCGACGGTGCTCCGTTATTTCTGATGAGTATACGTCCGCCTGATATTTGTATTCTGCCGACGAATCAAGCAAAGTTGTGATTAGCAATCTCCTAAGACGCCGTGCCGCAACGCGGCGCTCATGTTACTCATCTGTTTTCCTTGTCTATTCCGCTGCCTGCCTACCTGCCAACCCCCACCATCACTGCCTGCCTCCATACCAACCCTCATCCTCCTTGCCTGCCTCCATGCCAACCCCCACACTCCCTGCCTGCCTCCATGCCAACCCCTACCCTCCCTGCCTGCCTCCATGCCAACCCCCACCCTCCATGCCTGCCTCCATGCCAACCCCCACCCTCCCGGCCTGCCTCCATGCCAACCCCTACACTCCTTGCCTGCCTCCATGCCAATCCCCGCTCTCCCTGCCTGCCTCCAAACGTATGCATGTGTGTATGTGTGTGTGTGCGTGTGCCTGTGAGTGTATGTATGCGTGTGTAGTAGTAGTAGTAGTCGTCGTCGTCGTCGTCGTCGTCGTCGTAGTAGTAGTAGTAGTAGTAGTAGTAGACCACACCCCCATCATAGATGCCCAACCGTACCCCCGCGATGTTTATATCCTCAACCCCGCATTTTTCCTAGAAATAAATATGTTGATGCTTCACCCTGCGAGTATCTTGGCTTCTTTACCGGATAGATATTGATCGGTTACATATGATTTAATACGATCTTATTGACTTCTTGGCATTTTTTTACTGTAAATATCGGCGACCATTTCTGACCAGTTTAATTTTGTACCCAGTAGCTGTAAGGGTCTGTGTGCAACCTGAGTTGGCCGAGAAATTGACTCAAAGGCTGCGCGCTTGGTAAACAGAGAAGCCGATTAGTTAATACGTTTTCGTCTATTTGATTCCCAGTCAGCACGAAATGAATTCAATTGTGCAACGTGAACAGACATGTACGTGCACGTTATAAGCACGCACACGCACACGCACGCACGCACACATATGCATCCACGTTTTCACATATATATTAACGTTCTTTATATAATCAGAATTAATAATTCGTAAATTTCTATAAATAATCTATCTATGTTTAGAATTACGATAGAAGGGTAGGCCTACGGCTAGTGATCTTGGGCTTGTTTTAATTGTCAGAAATAAGAGAATTAAGAGTAAATAAATTTATATCGTTAAATACGTGTGAAGTTAGGCTGGTGAAGCATAAGCAGCAATGCAAATAGATGTTACTAGCTTTTTAATGGTAGTTACTGGAAACAAAGGCAGTCCATGTACAAGGATGCCTGTAGTAGGGACACTGTTCACGCGCTTCGGCTATTTATTTAAGATCTCGGGTTCAACGATTCTCGGATGATTCTCGGATTCAATTCGTGGATTGAAATTTCTACTTCAGCTTACTTTTAGCTTTACGGGTAATAAGTACTGGTGGTTGTTAAATAGTGCTCACCCAGCATCACGCTCGTTCCCTCACCCTGACTTTGTCTTGTCGCAGCACGTAGCAACAACAGCAGCAGCAGCGCCGGCGTCGAGAGGGAAGTGTGTGAGATGAGGATAAATGAACAACTTTTACTCATACGTAGGTATCGGGGCAGGAAAACGTTCAATTTTCTTTAAAATCGAAAACCGACGCCTGCGCACATATTAGGCACGCGTGCATGCCGGATTGAATATGACTATACGCATTTATTTATTGGGGATTGATTCGATGACTATGATTATATATGTATTTTTGTAAAAGTTGGTTTCATAATCTTAACCAATTAATTATGTTCAATATCTAAAAAAAATCATGTTATTGTAAGATTGTATATCTGATGGAAAACAAAACAATTCAAATGAAAAATACATCATATTGTTATACAACTTTTAGCGTTCTTCCACTTCTATATACTAAAAGAAATTTAGCAGCTTAATTCTACAGGAAATATACAAATTCTCTTTGCTATATCATTTAGCTGGGAAGCTGAATGCATTCAACGGCAAAAATCGGTGCTCAAATCCGGATATATGTCTAATAGGAGCTTTCACGTATGACCGCTAATCGATTCAACGCCAGAAGCGCATGAAGTTCTATTTCCTCTTCACCTATCGCAGGTTATCACTTTTTTACTAAATTTCCTGCAAATATTCAAGCTCGCTCTTGAGCTGCACGTGTATTTCTCTACACTGTTCACACAAGGACTGCAGCTAGTGTCGACGTCACCCAATACGAAAACATTCGTAGACCACGCAACATCGCAAATGTGTAACAAACTCGTACGTTGCGGATATCGGATGCACTCCGATGCGAGTTGCGAACGTAATATCGCACGAACAGACCGGCTAGGATAAAGTACGCAAAAGAATCTACTTTCATTACATGGCTAAAGTCTTACAGCTATGGTTATATGTATAGTATGTTTTACGCGGAGTGCAACGGAAGATCGTAGTTATTGGCAGCACATCACGCATGTAGGTCGCTGTACCCCATGTACCCCCATGTACCCCATGTACCCCATGTACCCCATGTACCCCATGTACCCCATGTACCCGATGTACCCTATGCAACAGTGCGCCATAACGCCCACTGCCTCATCAAGAATTATCATGACTGTGTACGTAAGTGCGTGTGCATCAGTGCTACAAAGTGACTCGATTACTAAAAATCTACGAGTAGAGCTTTGAAAATTTTCAACCTAAACGCAGCAATTTACGCGTAACATATTACGCTTCCCACGCGCGCGCGACTCTAATAATATTTTCCTTTTTATTCGATGTGGTCCCCCGTACACTCGAAAACACAATATGCTACGCGTTGGGCGTAGACAATGCCGAGCGCATATATTATGTGTAATAAGGGTATTATGAATTAAAATGTTGTCTATCGCTATATAAAAAGATTCCAGAGGCAGGGCTGCCATCGAAAGCACGTTATATACCGCCCAAACGTACAAACCGCCCACACTGTGAGCGACCGTTCTGCTTTATTACTACCCTAACCTAAGAGACTAAGACCCCTCAAATAGTGCTATGAGATTTTACGAACGATGAAAATACAGTAATGAGCTTTCTAGCTTTTTGGGCTTAAATCGATGCGTTAATATTTCCCATTTTGTTGTGCTGTACAATGTTGGCATCGCGTGTATGCACTGCCTGCCGCCATTCTCATCCTCTTAGCGTCTCCCGTTCTCTCCTCAGCCGCTCTCACTTTCTCTTTCTGACGGTTTCTACCCTCTCCCTCACACTGTCTCTCTGTCTGTCGTCCACTCCCACGCTTACTCACCGTCTCTCACTACCTCTCAGTTATACTCGTGTTAAATGCACTTAAAAACAAAGCGGCAGTATTTACGTGCAGGCGTGTTGCACGGACAAGTACGAAGTCAGTCGGCCATATATAACGCTTACGTTCGTCGCACGTTTCCGACGCTCAGCTTTTACAATAAAAGCGAGTGGCGTGATGCCGTCGGCGTTACGCGTACATTAGCGGAGCAGAGGTGGGTCTAAATATCATCGACAAACTCGTGGTTTACACGACGACACGCATACATTGATCAGTATCAGTGATCAAGTGATCATGATCAGTGATCAGTATCAGTGATCATTTGACAGGGATCTCTATTATTCTCTCAATAATCTCTATTATTCACTCCTGGTTGTAGTATATGAACAGCACGTGAATATAACGGTGTGAGATGCATTGAATTTATCACCGGTTAATTATGGTAACGATATATAAATAAGTAAATCACTAAACAAGTAAATAAATAAGTGAATGAATAACTGAATTATTAATCTAACGAACAAACGAAGGAGCGATCGAACGAACGAACTAGTGAGTGAGTGAATGAATGAATGAGTGAGTGAATGAATGAATGAGTGAATGAATAAATGAATGAATGAGTGAGTGAATGAGTGAGTGAGTGAGTGAGTGAGTGAGTGAGTGAGTGAGTGAGTGGGTGAGTGAGTGAGTGGGCGGGTGAGTGAGTGAGTGAGTGAGCGAGTGAGTGAGTGAGTGAGTGAGTGAGTGAGTGAGTGAGTGAGTGAGTGAGTGAGTGAACTCTCTCTCTCTCTCTCTCTCTCTCTCTCTCTCTCTCTCTCTCTCTCTCTCTCTATTACAAGATAAAGGAATGAGAGAAGGCGCCAGAGACAGTTACAAAGGGAACAGCAACAAGAAAAGGATGGACTCTTGGGAAAATGAGGGATTGCGTACGCCAGCAGATATACAATTGAGATGAAAGAGGGAGGAGATGAATCAGGATGTGAAATCATACACCGCGGTGGTCATTTCGTGATACGGGAGCGACCTATCTAATGATAAATGGATGTATGTTTATTCGCCATCGTCGCAGCCCACCCTGCTTCCGCGTTCAATTCTCAAACCTGTGGCACGAATAGCCTCGCCTATATTTGCTTTGTTTGCCTATATTGGTTGTGGAAGGTAAACGCCTACTATAGAATCGTGGTATTGTTGTAAT